GGAAGCAAGTCCAGGAGTATCTTGATAAGAAATTTATCAGGCTTAGTACTTCACCTTGGGGAGCACCAGTGGTGTTAGTGCCAAAACCAGATGGTAGCAAGCGGATGTGTATTGACTACATGGAATTGAATCGGGTTACTATCAAAAATAAATACCCAATTCCCAGGATTGATGATCTTTTCGATCAGCTCGGAGGAGCTAGGGTGTTTTCTAAGCTGGACCTCAGGTCAGGTTATCATCAGCTGAAGGTGAGAAAGGAAGATATACCCAAGACCGCATTCCGAACATGGTACGGGCACTATGAGTTTTTGGTGATGCCGTTCGGAGTGACAAATGCTCCATCTACATTTATGAGCTTGATGAACAAGGTGTTTTCCCAGTATCTTGACCAATTTGTTGTGGTATTCATCGATGACATTCTTGTGTACTCCAAGACCAAGGAAGATCATGCAGAGCATCTACGGACGGTGTTGCAAATCCTACGGAAGGAGAAGCTTTATGGAAAATTAAACAAGTGTGAGTTTTGGCTGGAGCAAGTGTCTTTTCTGGGGCACGTAATTTCAGGAGCGGGTATCTCTGTGGACCCGAAGAAGGTTGATGCGGTGTTGAGATTGGATCCACCTACATCTGTGACAGAAGTATGAAGTTTCTTGGGGATGGCTGGATACTATAGGAAATTCATAAAGGATTTCACTAAGATTGCAGGACCACTTACTAGGCTGACTCGGAAGGAGGTCAAGTTTGTGTGGGCTCCAGAGTGTCAAGCAGCATTTGAGGAGTTAAAGAAGAAGTTGACGTCAGCACCTATTTTGACAATCCCGGATGAGTCAGGAGGATTTGTAGTGCACACAGATGCTTCTGGTTTGGGTTTAGGTTGTGTTTTGATGCAACATGGAAAGGTAGTAGCTTATGCGTCTAGACAGCTGAAGACGCATGAGAGGAATTACCCAGTTCATGATCTGGAATTGGCGGCAGTTATTTTTGCATTGAAGCTATGGCGACACTATCTTTTAGGGCAGAGAGTGGAGGTGTACACAGATCACAAAAGTTTAAAGTATATCTTCACCCAGAAAGAGCTCAACATGAGGCAACGTAGGTGGTTAGAGCTTATGGCGGATTATGATCTTGATTTACAATATCACCCAGGACGGGTTAATGTAGTGCCAGATCATTTGAGCAGGAAACCTATGGCGATGAGACTCACCAGACAACGGGAGTTGCTAGCTGAGTTTTGGAGGATGAACATGGAGGTTATATTGCCTGGAGTAGAGAGACAATTGATGAGTTTGCAGTTACAGTCAACCCTGGTGGACCGGATCAAGGCTACCCAGTTCGAGGATGCTCGATATCAAAAATTTAAGAAACATGTAGAGTATGGGGAGAGAACTGATCTACAAATACATGAGGATGGATCCTTGCGATTTCGAGGTAGGTTATGTGTGCCTAAGGGCGATGTTAGAAGAGAGCTGTTAGAGGAGGCGCACAGTTCAGTGCTTTCTATTCATCCAGGAGGAACAAAGATGTATCGGGACTTGAGAGAACACTACTGGTGGCCAGGAATGAAGATGGAGATAGCCCGATTTGTGTCCAAATGCCTTATATGTCAGCAGGTGAAGGCTGAGCATCAGAGGACAGCTGGGTTATTGCAGCCCCTTCCTATTCCTGAGTGGAAGTGGGAACATGTTACGATGAACTTTGTCACAGCTTTGCCGAGGATCCAGAAGGGAAACAACGACATATGGGTAGTAGTAGACCGGCTCACAAAGTCAGCTCGCTTTATACCATTTCGAGTTGGACAGACGACGGAGAGTTTAGCGGAGTTGTACATGAGGGAGATAGTACGCTTGCATGGGGTACCAGTTAGCATTATTTCTGATCGAGACACCCGATTTTTATCACACTTTTGGAAGAGCTTGCAGCAGTGTCTGGGGACTAGACTGAGTTACAGCACAGCTTACCACCCGCAGACAGATGGACAATCAGAGAGGACTATACAGATTCTGTAGGATATGTTGCGGGCATGCATGTTGGATTTCAAGGGCTCTTGGGAAGACCACTTACACTTGGTGGAGTTTTCTTATAATAACAGTTATCAGGCCAGCATCCAGATGGCACCTTATGAGGCATTATATGGGAGAAAATGTAGATCTCCTACCTGTTGGGATGACATGGGGGAGCGGCGTCTACTAGGTCCTGAGATGATAGTGCAGACAATAGACAAGATAAAGGCAGTACAGGAGCGCCTTAAGTCAGCTCAAGATAGACAGAAGAGTTGGGCTGATGCTAAGAGGAGACCTTTATAGTTTCAAGTTGGAGAGCATGTTTTCTTGAGGATATCCCCAACCAGAGGAGTTATCAGATTTGGCAGCCGCGGGAAGCTTAGTCCACGTTTCATTGGTCCTTTTGAGATATTGGAGAGAGTAGGAGAGGTGGCATACCGACTAGCTTTACCTCCGTCGTTGGAGGGAGTGCATAATGTGTTCCATGTATCACAGCTTCGACGATATATACGAGATGAGACTCACATCCTAGACGTCACAGAGCTTCAGATTGGGACGAACTTATCATATGAGGAGCGACCTATGAAGATTTTGGACAGGCAGGAGAAGGTCCTCAAGAACAGAACTATTCCGTTTGTCTTAGTATCTTGGGGACATCATGGGCCTGGTGAGGCGACTTGGGAGCGAGAGGACGATATTCGTCAACGCTATCCACATCTCTTTATCACAGGTGACTTTTAGTTCTTATTATGGTCGAATAAATTTCGAGGACGAAATTTTCTTTTTTTAGGTGGGTAGGATGTAATAATCAATATTTTTTTATACAAGGTTTTATAGGAGGTCCACAATTATTTTATTTTGTAGCAAGTTTTATGAATAGGCCCACATCATGTTTAAAAAAAAATAAGGATTCTCAAAGGCCCACCTAGAAAGCCCACTTCACCCATGTCTTTCGTTTAAGAGATTCAAGATGATTCTTTTTCTTTTTTTTGGAATTTTTTTAAAATTCAAAATCCCGTGATTTCAGCTCCCAAATCAAAAAAAAAACGTGGGATTTTTTTTAGTTTCCTTGTTTGTTTTTACACATTTTACCAAATTTAAAAACAAATTCCTTAATTTTAGGGATTTTCAAATTCGACAAATCGGCAAGCATTCCTTTCCTCAAATATTATTATTTTTAGATTATTATTTTTGAGTTTTTTTTTCTTCATGCAAACATTTTTTTCCTCAATTATATATATATTTTGCTATGAAATTTTAATATTTATAAGTCATCAACTTGGTGTATGTATATGATAATAGGTTGAATGGCATCCGTTGTAAATATTTTGATGGCATGAGCTGTAAATATTTTGATGGCATGAACTGTAAATAAATAAACTTTATGACAATATACATAACCGGCATTGATGTAGAGTTTTTCCTCATTGGTTTAGGAACTTGACAGGAAACCAAACTTTAGTTTCTCTGAATCACATATGACATAGAAGATAAAGTGGTTGTAGTGGTTAGTTGCCTTGGACAATGAGACAAAGGTCTCAAGTTTGAATCCTAGAGTCATCATGTTTTCGTAAATTAATGTGTTTTGGGTCGTTTTAACTTGTACCCGACCCAGTTGGGTCTACAACTCTTCAAACCCGACCATGTTTGGACCCGTTACCAAAGTACAGACCTGTTTAACCAGTTCAAACTTAATTTCTGACCCGTTATCATATTTTTCAGACCCGTTATTATATTTCAGACCCGTTTAGGTTTTTTTTCATCTAAAACAAAAAAAATCAGTTTTTGCACTTTTCTATGGCCAAATAAAAATCAGTTTGGCCACTTTGACACTAAATAAAAAAAAAATCAGTTTTTGCACTTTTCTATGGCCAAATAAAAATCAGTTTGGCCACTTTGACACTAAATAATTATGCTAATTACTTATTTTCTTTTTGTTAAAGTTAATGAGGATATTGTTTAATTTCTTGATGCTTATTGGATCATTGGATGCTATGTTTAATCACCTAGTGACATTTGATAGGGTTGACTGTGCATGAAGACGACTTCCGTCAAGAACTATGATTTATAAACGTGTTTTTAGCATGGCTACGCTCTCGATATCGATATCCCGATATGAGATTTTCCTTGGCTATTATTATTATAGCATCGACTAGACGATGCACTCCTCTTGATTAGACATGTTTTGGACCACGGTTATCTTTCATAGTTTTACGGAAGCCGTTCCACGGAATCCCTGTGGTTAGTGCACAACATTTCATGCACAGTTACTTAGATTAAAACAGACAACATGGGGTTTAATAAAAGGGAAATTGGACAGAGAATATAACATGTATATACGCGGGTTTGTGCGCATTCTTGATATCCTGGTATATATATATATATGAGAACTAAGGGCCCATCATGACTTGAAGCTGTGTTCCCAGGATGGTTTACGGGAAACCGACTTATATACATGAAATATTCTTCTCTAATTCAAATAACTTTTAAAATAATAATAAATCTGCTTGTGTGTTTGATGATAGACATTGGTTGATCTCTATGGTTTGTAAATTTCTTTTATCACTGTTTATTTATAATTTATTTATTTTCTTTATATGCCATTTACACTTACACGTGCATTATCCCTTCATTTTACATGCTTGTTGGGAGTTTTCTGACTCCCCTGGGGTTTGTATGCCCCAGATTCGGGAACTGTTCTTTCTTTGCAGGACCGAGAGTATTTCGAGGGGCAGGCTCAGCTGTAGTGATCACCGTTCCTTCTATCAGTTCTCCCGTTCAGTTGTTTTAGGTAGTTATTTTGGTTCAGGTTTTTCTTTAGCCACAGTTGGCTCTCCAGACTATGGTGTATTTTTTTTCCTTTCTCTTTAGAGATTTGTGGACTTGTCATAGAACTATCTGAGATTTCTTTATCTATACATTCCATTTTTATTTTCTTGGTTACATGCTCTTTGATATAGTTTTGGCTTTATTCGTATACAGGATGATCTAGAGGCGTGAATGCGACCGTATGGTTGTATTGCCGACCGAGTCATGCTCCGAACTATTACATTTTGGAACCGGGGCGTGACATGTGTTCTGATTTCCTATGGGCTCAAAAATTTCACTTGGTTGCTTGGAATTCTCTCTGTCAGGGGAAAGAAGCATGGAGGTCTGGGGGTTTTTTCTGCAAAATCTTGGAATTATGCAGCTGCCACAGAGCTTCTATGGATGATTCATCTTAAAAAAGATTTACTATGGATTAAGTGGATACATGGTAACTATTTGCAAAACCAAAATGTTTGGGAGATTCAGGGTAGGACATATGATTCTTGGATGTGGAGACAAATTCTTAAAGTGAGGGATATGTTGATAAATAAATTTGGTAGCACTGATAATGTGAAGAATGCTATTGAGGGTTGCTTTTCTAAAGACAAACTCAAACTTTCTGAAATATACATGTGTTTAATTCAGCCAATGCCAAAGGTTAGCTGGTTCAGCACAGCTTGGGATGAGTTTCTTTATCCTAAGCATTCTTTTATTTTATGGTTGGCGTGTAATCAAAGACTCCTCACTAAGGACAGATTATGTAGAATGGGGATGATGAGTTCCAATCAGAATCAGTGTGTTCTATGCTGTGGTCATCAATTGGAAACAAGTAAGCATATCTTCTTTGAATGCCAATTCTCGGCTGATGTATGGAATAGGGTGATGGATTGGATGAGATTTAGATGGAGATCTTGTTACTGGGACTTGATCATTAGTTGGTATTCTTGCAATTTGAAAGGAAGAGGACCCTTGAGGAAGTTGAAGAGAATGTGTCTTTCAGCAGCAGTGTATATGATTTGGGATGAGAGGAATCGAAGGATTTTTCAAGGCAAAATGAGAGATCCTTCTCAGATTTTCAGAGCTATTAGACTTTCAGTTTTTACAAGAGTATTGAATGTTAGTTCACATGCACATATGATAGATTTGCTTGAGGTTTTGTAATTTTCTTCTTGTTTTACCAGTTCTCGGTATTTTGATGTTCTTCTCATTGTTCACTTTGGTTTATGAATAAAATTTTAAGTTCATTAACCAAAAAAAAAAAAAAACATCAATCTCATTTGCCATACCTGCGTGCAGCTTCAAATATTGTAAACAAAGCATGCTTCCTCCGTTTTTAAATTAAGCTTTTATATATAATTGAATGATTGTTTAAGTAGTCTTTGTAATATGTTTTCACTCCTGCAGTTAACAGCTCTAGAGATTGGGCCCGTATTGTATGTGGCTCTGAAGCGTGTTCATATAGTGACTCCCTTGTATATGGTTTTTTGAAACTATATCAAGTCAGGAATTGATATATCTTTCAGCGTATATTAATATATATTAAGGCTGTTAATGTGTGCCAATCGTCCAGTGTTCTGGCTTTTCATGGTTTCATATAACGCAATGTGTGACTTAGGAGTCTGCTTCATCCTAGTTATCAGTCTGAAGTTATGGAACTTAGATTTTGGGCAATGATGCCTGTTCAGCGTCAGCTTCTGATGGCGGATGCAACCAAATTAAACTCAGATCAATTTCCTGGCGCATTTATTCACTTCCCACTTTACAAAAAAAGATGAGGGCATATTACATTCTAATTTGCCGAAGGATTGTCTCTCTTTAAGAGGTTGTAGTAATTGGCCAGAACCCGGAAGAGTTATAATCTGAGCTCACTTGTCTCAGCCTACCACAGTCCTTGCTGCCTTTAAGTTAAGGAAAATGATTTACGGACCCAAAATATGGGACAAGGGAGGGGACAGGTGATGTGTCCCCTCCCTATTGCATAATGAGTTGGAATGGCCAACTCATTATGCAATAGGGAGGGGACACCTCACATGTCCCCTCCCTTGGTCCTATATTTTGGGTCCCCGTAATAGCACTCTTAAGTTAATGATCTCCCTTTTCATTCAAGACTTGAATGATCATCTCAATAAATTTTCATGTCAGATGTGCAATGAATAAGGTAGTTATAAGTTGCAAAGTAGGTTTGTTGGTGTCAGTAGAAGGTAAATGGTTTTTTTACTAGTGCAGTATGTTCTGCGCATATTTACGGCATCATAATTGTAGTAGAGTTAAATAGTGGACAATGCAAAAGGAGAGAAGTTGTGAAATGAATGAATGAGTATAGAAGCACAACGTGACTTCTTTTCTTGATAAAAGAGTTGTAATGTTTCATGGCAATAGAGTTCTGGTTTTTCATGATAAAAAAGACTTTGCTGCACGTCTACGTTGAGTTATAATGTGTCATTACACAAAAAAAAAAAAAGGGCGGTCTAGATTTTGTACAATCTAGACGGAAAAATTTTCCATCTTAGCATTGATTCAAACTAGCGATTGGAACAAACTAGACGGATATATTTTTCCGAAAAAAAAATTCGTCTAGTTTGTTCCATCATAGTTTGTTCATTTTCCTACTAGTGTCTTTCTTTTTAAGTAACCGTAGATCGGAAAATTAGTCATCTTACTATTAAGTACCAACTTTGTGCTCTGGGACCAAGCATATTCATATTCAAACATCCTGCTCTCTCTCTCTCTCTGGCATTCTTCCTCTCTCTCTCTCTGCTCTCTTTTTCTTTTCAATATATTTAAATATTTTATTATATATATATATATATATATATAATATATACTATATATATATATATATATATATTATATATATTATATATATTATATATATATATGAGATTAAATGGAGTATCCTTTGTCATAGGAATGGGATTTCTTCCCTGTCGGACCTGTCTCTAAAATCACATTGATGGGCCCGACATTATGGATGATCCGCCTCCGTGAACTTGATCTACATTATTCTAAAAACCCCAACACACCAAGTTTGGGTGAATCCGTCGTCGTTTGACCTCCATCGAGCCATGTGAAAGTTCTAATCATTCAAAACGTTTAAATTGATATACGAGTGGATGAAGTCGTGTCAAACGACGACGGCGTTCACCGCAAACTTGGTGTGTTGGGTTTTAGAATATGTAGATCAAACAACGGGAGCGGATCATCCACAATGTTCGCTCAATCATGGACTGGTGTGATTTTAGAGGCGTCAAGGCAGGAAATCCCCTCCTCATGACAAGGATACCCATTTAATCTTCTCTCTCTTCATCTCTTCTCTCTCTATATATATATATATATATATATATATATATATAATATATACTATATATATATATATATATATATATATATATATATATAGACTGTAAGTTGATGTCCACCAAAGTTTCTAGTCACACAATATTTATTAAATAAATACCTGTTTCTCTCCAGTTATAATACACCCAACAGGTGCGTTAAGTTAAAAACTTTGGTGGATCATCCACATATTCATTGCTATTCCACTTTAAGTTGATAGGAGTTCGATTGTTCACACCGGGAAGTATAATAATATATAATTATTAGTATACTAGTATATATACTATATATATATATATAGTATATATAGTACCATATATTTTCTTATATATATTATATATATATCGTATATAATCATTCTAAATAATATATGCTAACTTATTTTATAAAATATACTAATAATAAAATAGCCTATAAAAAAAGTATATATATATATATGTATTAAAGAACTAGAATTAATGAAAATGACATTATCTCAAATTGCATGAGGTTTGAAATTCAAAGAGCTCTCTGCATGTCCAATAGAAGCATCCGCAAGCACCTACAACTTACATAACATATTTTCATTAAGAAAAAGTAAAATAGTCAAGATCAAAAATTTAGTCTAAATACTTAAAGATAAAATATTTTGACTCATATTTACATAGAGAAAAACTATGACAACCTTGCTGTTAGAAGTCAATTTAGTTATTTACGTGAAGTATAAAGCGTACTACAAGTTAGGAAATCATAGGCTTTATTGTTTAAAATCAAATAATTTGTGAAAATATTAATCAATATAGAATATATACAAATTAACTATGCTATTTTGTCACTAATCATTGAGCAATTAAATAAAAAAATGTATTTAATTTCGTTTTCCTTCATATTTTCGATTTTCTTTGATAACCAAAGACAAGAAATCAGGTCTTTTCATTTTCACTTTCCTTTTCTTTTCTTTTCATTTTCCTTTTCTTCATTTTACTTCAAATCAAACACGGTAAGACCTTTTTGGTTCGCATGGAAAAGTCCTAAAAATTGGTTTCTATGCTTTGACAGTCATAATGGGTTAAAAAACGCCCTTAACACCTTCATTTTCTTTATTTTGTTTTGTTTCCAGATTTGGATTAAGGAAAGCAATCCTTGGAAACCCCATCCTGGTCACAAAAATAAGGAAACCCAATTCAGAGGTTTTAGCTCTGAAATGGATTGAAAACGATTAATTAGCCTTAAAATAATGGGTCACTTGGCACACAGCTTTCTCCAAACCAAAGCAAACACCTTCTCCAATGATGTTTCCAAACCAAACAAACACAAGCTGAGGACACATATTTCATAAGCACTTGCTTTCGTATTTTCAAATTTCCATTCAAACTACTAATTAAGGTGGAAACTCATTTTAGCCATTGATTTAGTTTGGTTCAATTTCCACAAATAAAAAAAGGAAAAGGAAAAGCACCAAAAAATTAATTTTCTTATATTTCTAAAAAAAAGTTATTGAAAAAGTTTATAGAACTCAAAAAGTACAACTTTTTTTGTTTCTTGTTCTTTCTTTATTTGGTTCAAAACAAGAAAATTTGCCTATTACTTTATAAAAATTTGTTTCTTTCTTTTTCTTTTGTTTAGTTGCATATGGAAAAAATTTACAGAGAAGTGCCAATCTTCTCATAAACTTTATAATGGCTAGTTTAAATGTTATAAAATCCTTCTATCCTCAACTTGCCATGAACATGAAATTTGCCAAGTTAAAAAACATGAGTAAGAATGTTAGAGATATTAGTGAATCTTCATTTGCACCAAATTCAAAGGTAAATATTTTGAAATAAAAAAACTAAAAACTCTACTATTTTCCTAATGTCAAACTACTTTGTTTATTTCTTATCTTGTCGTGCTCGAAAACTATCACAGAAACGAACCTACGAAGATCTATTTTCATATACAGATGAAGATCAAGAGCATGATAAGATATGAGATATAATAGAATTAGCAGAAATAATGCTAAGAGCTAATACTTTAATAGTTAGAGACTGAAACAGGTGGTGGAAGTGTCCCTACTGCAACGATATCCCTACATGAATTGGAACATAAATGATCTCTTAATTCACGCACATGATGTTGGTTACAATGGGACTGTGGCTAATATGAGTAAAAGGAGAGGATTGGCCAACATCACTAGAAGTTTATTTACAATGGTTAGATCAAAATCAATGCTTTAAAAAAATCATGCAACAACTTTGGTATTTTCATGTCCTACTGTGATATTTTCATGCACTAAATTAGCTCAGCTATAGGTCTTTTGACAAAATTAATTGCCTCAACTAAAACTTACAAGTTCGACATAGATTGTGTTCTAATAATGTATTGCCTCACCTTAGCATTGCGCTTGTAATGAAGGTTACACTTCCCATTAAAGAAACCTCATCAATTTGATCATTTTATTTAATTTACTATTTTTAAAATAACGTAAATAAATATCATCATATACTCTCAATTCTTAAGGTTGTGGTCTGGATAACGCGACTTGTAAAATCCTATAGTCATTTGCTGAGGCTCCCACCCAACTAGGAGATAAATAAAATGTTTATTTGAAGTGCACATGGCTGAAACATTTTGTGTTACACATTTATGCACTCTAAAGCCTGCAACTAGGTTAAAGGGTAACATTGCATCAATGTGTGTTCCATCTATCATACTAATACAATCCTATCAAAATAGTACTTTATGAAAAATATTAGTTATTCATATTATTAAATTACCATAATCATTAAATATGACAATTTATCTCTCTTTTACTTTGAAGTAAGGGAAATACTTTGGATTGTTGGCAATCTTATCAAATTGGACCT